CAAACGACCTGAGTCGTAAATTCAAAGGAAGCCAGTGATACATCCACAACTACAGTAGTCGGATTAGGGATACGCAAATTCTTTAGAATCTTGCTTCAGTTAATCTAATTCCATACTGTAAATACCCCTTCTCTCCTATAATCCGAAGTAATTTTGACAAACTCTTCTGATCCGTTTTGTCCTTCTTAGTTTATTTCACCTAGTTGTCATAAACTCCTGCTGACTGTTCTATTAAACTACCACATTGTAGCATAACCTAAGCCGTATAATCGTTTAGGTAATCAACTATTTTGATTTGAATCCCATTAACAATCATAAACATTCACACTCAACTTTTCTCAGTCGGCCTCCTCGAATGCATAATAGTATTCACAAACTCATATGTGAAATCTTAGTGTTATTGAGGCATAATTCTTCACTTTGTACATATAAGTGAAGGATATGAAAAAGGTATTAAAAAGTCTTTGTTCACTGTAATGGCTTTTGAACTGTCATGGGAGTTCTAAATGGTCTGAAAAATTACTCAACACTTTCATTGTTCGATATTAGTACACACACATTAAATTATCCATTATGAAAATATCTCTAGTATACACTTTTAACCTTTCTAGGGTTATTCAATTGGTACTGTTACGAATTATAGTTAGTTGGAAGAATGCACTTTTTTTCTGAATTATGTACTGGTGTGTTTATGCAACTACTAAAAGTCTAGAAACTTAATGCAAACAGTAAATACATTGACATATTTGGTTATTTATTATTTACAATAGAGTAACCATCGTTTTGAAAATACTTTAGTATCAATAAAACCTCCTAGTAATGATACAATTTTTTTTCCTACCCCTTGTGTTCGTCTCTAGGAAATAGGGGATTCCAAAATTAATTTCATCTCACTTAAGACTTTAGGTATAATGAATGCACTAGTTGTAACTACACATATCTGGTTGCATATAAAAAATTCACAACTTTATAACTAACCAATATAAAATATTTTTTTTTAAAATTTTCTCATCTCCTAGACTGCTTTTTCTGACTAACTAAGGTGTTGTTAGAACATAAAATTTTTCTCTAGATTTCAATTCATAAGGTTTGTTCAAAAAGCTGACAATAGAAATACTATTAAAAGTGTGCAGCTATTATATGTTTCCATTAATCTAACGAAAATGAATTCAGATTCATAGCTCATTATGGATTGAATATATAATCTATGGTCATTTATCACAGTTTATTGCTTTATAAAGATACTCATTTGCCAGCTTACAACATCTCTAAGAAGTATGTTTATGCAAAGAATGAGTATATTGTGCATTAGTTGGTTAATATCATACTGACTTGTATGGAAATGATAGAATATACAATGTCTAGAGAGAAGTAGGTTAGTTAATGAGAATATGAAGTTGTAGTGATCGAATTTCCCAGAACATATATTATAAGCATAATGATACATAATTAACCGATATAAGTTTAGGTTTGGAAGAATGCTAAAGATAGCAGGAAATCCATTGACACTAATATTTGAACTTTATATGAAACATGTATTCAGTCTTATGATGTTAGAGACAAATAGTTGGGAACTTCGAGTAGAATGATTCAAATTTGAGCACAAAGTGAAAAAAACATATTTATTCATTATTACTGAAATTCAAGAAATTTTATTAGTCTTCTTTCATTTCCTTTCCCTCTTGTAATATCTTTCTAATTTAGATTGTTCTCTTACTTTATATAAATTCTTTCTATGCTGTTATAAAGTATAGTATGTTGATCTGTTTATATTTCCTTACAATAGCAAAACACTTTAAATAATTTTAAGATTTCTGACAAATATATAAAGGTAAACTGTTATTAGAGTCCCTTCTAAAAGATTTTATAAAAATATCAAATTTCTTTAGATAGTGATAATAAGAAATGCAAAATTGTTTCCATAAGAAGTATAATAACAGTCATGAAAATTCTACTCATTGTTCAACGCTAACTTTTGTATTTAATCAATGTTGTTTCTTTTTCTCTGTTCAACAACTGTTGAATGAAAATGAAACTAAATCCTTTAATTCAGTTCTTATATGATTTTCTTGATGCATCACTTTACACTTTCGATGATGCCGGTTCACGTGCCTCTTTGTGTATTCTATATCCATTACAGCATTAGAATCTCTTTTCCACTCGTATGCTGCATTTGTATGCAGACATATATATATATATATATATATATATATATATAATATTTTATCAATTTTTATTACCATCAAAATGTATGCTGAAAATCTTTCAACAATCAATATATTTGCTTTTAAGAACAAATATCTGGTAGAAGAATACTTTTTTCAGAATATATAAACAACGGAAGACTTAGATAGTGGACGCAATAGCGGGAAATATATAAGGCTAAAGAGTTAGCTCAATATCATGTGTCGCACTTATATAAGAGATGAGACCACTGTTAGTCACTTATACAAAAATTCTAGTAATATATACAGTGTTAGGAAACAGTATACTGTCGTTTATAAGATACCACTTTGCTAAACTTATATCGATAACAATATTACACCTATTCTGTTCATTAACTAACAGTCTGATTCATAATCACTAATTATTACGAAAAAGATATATATACAAATAAAGTTCTAGTGATGTCAGCTTTAAACTGTATAAAATTCAAACAACTGTTCTTATATGTAATATTAATACTGAACAGTGTCTAGTAGTGGAAACCATGAAGCGAAATGAGGACATCATCACTACGATTGTGTCACCCATTATGTGGTAGTCATATCCACCTGATTAGTCTTAAGGAGAATGATACGCGTGCATCTTGTATTCCAGTGTTAGCCACTAGCCATCATTCAAAAAATACTGGTAATATTGAGATCTTTCAAGTTGTGATGAATTGTAGACTGAGATCAGTTGGAGGAACAAAGGAAACCTGGGAGCACTGCATAGCTATTTCATCCTAGTATGAGAGTATTCTGCCCATGACTTCACCAGGGCTCAAACCCATGAACTGCTGAGAAATCTCATACTAGGACGAAACAGCTGTGCAGTGCTCCCAGGTTTCCTTTGTTCCTCCAACTGATGTCAGTCTTCGATGAGTAACAACTTGAAATATTGAGATGAATCACTTCGATCAAATCCACGATGAAAACTTACAAGGTATACCATCGAAAACTGTTGTTAATTCTAATGAATAATTCATCTGGTTAACAAAAAATCAGCTCAATTAGTTTATTCCCTTCAAATTCATCATTTTGTTTTTTCAATACAGTTAGCTTTCATGTTAATATTTGGAAGATAAGTGATCAAGTAATTCTGTTAAAATGTTTGTTTTCTAATCAACTGAAGGGATATTTCGTTGTATATCATTTTCAACAGAAAAATAAAATTAGAATTTTAGCTTTATTATGAGATTATTTTGTTCAGAACTTTATAAATATGCACAAAGTATTTTGAAAGGGTTAGGGTACTAAAAATTTTATCCATAACTGTATACTTATGCATATACAAAATTTACAAGTTTCTATGATGTAATGTTTATAAATAATTCTAGATATTAAGAAAATCTTTTATACTATGTTTGTAATGTTGCTTACAAATTGATTTATTTATTGAACAGCCTTTAATGTGTTAATAACCACTTTATTTGAATGATAGCTGACGGGTTAACTTTTACATCTAAATATTTATTACACCTACACTTTTCTAACTGAAAGTTTATGATTGTTGGAACACACTTTCCTTTACAAGTTAAATATCTGTCCTCCGTTTATTTATACTTTTAAAGAATAATCCACTTTTCAATCAGTATATAGATATCTATAATAAGTTTAGATTTGATGGTTTGAAAAAAAAAATTTGGACCCTAGGTCAATTATGTTCATCACCGCATGGAACTATGGCTTATTGACCTTAGTATCCAACTTCCAACCGGTGGTTTTTGAATCCACTTCTTCTACAAAAGTTCAGGTACCCAGATAGTATCTCATCAACCCTTAAAACTATAGGAACGAGTCAATGTCTGCTGAATGAATGTCCATTTAGTCACCTAGTGTATTTTAGTGTCATATTTGCATTGTCCTAGGAATAAAAAGTAATCCCGCTTTAAACTTATTAGTAAGTACCAAAAGAGACTAGTTTCCTTCTACCAGTTTTTAACGAAGTAAACAGTTTATAACTAAAGTAAACATCACAGGGTCCAACTTCTGTCAGTTCACGATATAGTGTGACCATCACCCAATGTTATCGTTGAGTATTTGTCTTCACGTCCATCAAATTCACCGCACCGGTCAGGAATTCACATTGGAGCTGCAGAAATGACCCCTTGAAGCTATTCACCAATGAGCAATAGGTTAATTCAATTTGAGGTTTCATGAGGATTTATTGGTTAATTCCAAGTAGTAATTTGTCATGGACTGATATCATTTGGAAGAACATTGGAAAGGTGGGAGCACTGGATAGTTGTTTCGTCCTAGTATGAGACTAGCAATGTACACGCATGCCCCGCCAAGTACTGCGCTATCTCGTAGATTCCGACCCGGTGGCTCAGTAGTAACATACTGACCGTGTAACCTGGAGGTCCTGAGTTCGACCCCCAGCGCATTGGTCTCATGGGTGTGCACTGCTGAGGGGTCCAATACTCGAACGAAACAGCTATCCGATGCTCAAGTTTTTCCAATAATTCCCCAACTGATGTCAGTCCAAGATGAATTTCAACTTGAAATCAATCAGTAATCCCCCACAAACCCCCAAATCGAAGTAAGTTTAATAGATTGAATGAAATTTGTATAAGACGAATGATACCTTCATTGGTGTTATCCACTGAGATTCCATTATGCTCAAGAATACGCAGTTTTTAAAATCAATAAGCTTAAATATAGTTTCTTCTTTGTTTTACTCCATCAAAGGGGAATATGGGGATTAAAATTGTAATCACAGTAAAGTATTTTAATAATTTAATTAATAATGAATTACATTTTCTTTATTGTTGTTGTATATTTTTTCAAATTCAGGTTGATCGAATATCTCCATCCCTTGTATCTAGTCCAACAGTATGTGCTCCTGCTTCATCACCATCAGGTCATATGAATAAATGTCAATCTGAAGTTCCATCATCAATGGTTTCTTCATCTATTTCATCGAATACATCAACATCTGGACTTCCTTTACATAATCTATCTTTGAATTCATCTTCTGCTTGTACAAATGTTCAAAATCGTTTAAGATCAAATAAATCTGTAAATAACAATACCAATAATGGTAATAATAATAATAACAATAATAATGGTAATGGTAATAATAACCAGTCGGTTGGCATTGCTCACCGGTCTCATCCAAATCAGTTGCCTTATTCTCATCATCAACATACACATCAAGCACGTGAACAATTGCAATCATCTACTGGTATACAACATCAACGGCAACATTCACAAGGTCTTCCTGTACAATCTCAACCAACAAGTCAATCACTTGTAACTCATTTTCGGTTAGTTAACCTTTTGATAAATTATACTATTTAACAGCAATAGATGAGCATAATGTTATTTCTATTATTTATTATATGTCCCTTGGGTTCCTAGTGGAACATAGGGCTTCATTAGCATGTCTCCACTCCACTCTGTTCTCTGCGGTCTTTTCATCTTCGCTCTACGATTGCCCACATGCTTTCATTTATGCCTCACATTATCTCCTCCATGTCACCCTCAGCTGGGAAGCCAAACTCGCCGTTTCCCATTGGGATTCCAATCGACAGTCTGGCCTGGTGCGTGATGTCCCCAAAAGTCTTCTCACTGCATGCCCAACCCATCTCCGATTCCTTCTGCATATTAGTTAGGCGATAGGTTCTTGGTTGGTTCGATGCCTGGCCAGAGTTCCTTGTTGCTTATTCTTATTATTCTGACCATCTCATGTTCAGCAGCAAGCCAGCTTAGACAGCTACTGATGAATGTCTGTAGCTTCTTGGAAATGCCTTTCGTAACGCTCCAAACCTCTTAAACATAATAAAGAAGCACTGAATTGACTGACGCTGGTGTTGAAAATCCGGATCTTGTTCACGCTTTATGCCAGTTGCATTGCAGTAGATCTCCTCAGTGATTTCAGATTAATTCAGGAAGGCCTGTCTTGCTGTGTCTTTCTGATCCTGGCTGGCCTTGACATCCTCACCAGTGCCTGTGCAGCCTGTTGTTGAGACGGTGCTGCCTAGATGGGTAAAAGAGGCTACTTCCTTTGAGTTTCTCCCATTGATTGTGATTGGTGCTTGTTGTTGTTGGTGGTGGTGTTGTTGGTTAGATAACTTCATCACCTCTGTCTTCTCTACCTTCACTTGAAGTCCCGTCTTCGCTGCCCTGTCCTGCCCTACCCTACCCTGCATCTTCTGTCAAATTGTTGAATTTTGCCAGTAGATCTTCAAGTTTTTGTGACATCAGACACAAGTCATCATCGGCGACACCCAAATCTTCTAGGACCCTTTCCCCGGTCCAACCAGCATATCCCCCTCTTCTCGCTCCCCACTGTTTGCTACATGATCCAGTTGACCACAATCAGTAATATCGTGGGTGATAGTAGACAGCATTATCTTACTTCTGTCTCCTGTCTTCACTTCAGAAGCATCACTGAGGTTCCCGTTGTGAATCACTTGACATGTGGCGTCTTCATATAGTTGTTGATTGAATGAGGTTGATAATGGTTTGTGGTATTCCATAGTGTTGGAGTAGTTGCCAAATTACTAAACGGTTGACTCTGTGGAAGGCCTTTTCAAAGTGGATGAGGTTGAGGTAGAGGTACAGTTGACTGCCATCCTGTACTCTGTTCTATGATGATGCGTAGTGTAGCTTTGCAACTTGGTTCGCATATGATTTGTACTTCCTGAATCCAGCCAGCCTGTTTGGGTTGTAGTTTTGAATCCAGCGCATCCTTTAGTCTCTCCAGGATGATGCGGCTTAATGTTTTGTTTGCTCTGGGTGGACAGGAGCGTGATCCCGTGCCAGTTCTTGAGAACACTTAGGTCACCCTTCTTCGGGAGTCTGATAAGCTAGCCCTCCTTCCAATCGCCAGGTACCTTCCCTTCCTTCCAGACCTTCTGCAACAGTGTTGCGAGCGTGTCCGCTTTTGTCACTGCTTCTGTTCTCAGTGCTTCTGGCGGGATTCCATCTAGTCCTGCTGCTTTCCCACACTTCAGTAGCTTCATGGCGTTCAGGACTTCGACTTTTGTTGGAAGATTTGTGTTCATTGGTGGTTGTGTGGCTGGACTGCTGGTGGTATTTCTGGACGAAGTGCAGGTGGTGGTGGTGGTCGATTCAAGAGTTTTTTGAAGTGGTCAGCCCATCGTTTCCTTTGTTTCTCTTCTTTCGTAATTAGATTTCCTTCATCATCTTTCATTGGTTTCATCTGCGTTGATCCCTTCCCTCCCAGATAGTAACCTGGTCATTTGATACAATGTTGTCAGGTCTCTGACTCTCCTACCTGCAGCCTGTTCTGCTTCACTTGCCAGTGTGTCATGGAAGTGTCTTTTGTCTCTGCGTGCACTCTTGTTAGGTCGGTACATGATGCGGATATTTCATTTCCCCATCTTTACTGTTACTTTCATCGAGAGAAGATGAGATACATTGGCCAATTGGCTTCCTGAAGGCTTTCACCTCTCCGATTTCAGCCAGGGATAATTTTGTTTTTATGTTTTATGTTTTGTTTGTGCTTTGAAGTTTTTTCATTGATTGGATTTGTTTTTACGGGGTAGGGTTGGTAGCCGTATGCCCAACCTTCCCTCTTTACCCGGGCTTAGGACCGGCTAGTAACTAGTGAACTAGTCAACCAGGCGAAGTCAATGTTATTTCTACAGATTAACTTAAATATTTTCGTTAACTTGTAGACAATATTGTGTTATAATTCACAAGATTTGATGTCAAAGAGGAAAATTTATTCCCTCTTCGATAGCATTAACATGAATCTGTTTTTCACTTTCGCCTAAAAATTCATTTATCTACTCAAAGGAATTCAATCTGAAACATTAAATTGGCTGTAGAATTGCTGAAGTGAATAGCAGTGAATAAATACTGACTCTTATTTGAGATTGTCTTAGTAGAAGGTAATGGGTATACTCTACTTAGAGATCATGAACTTAAAACGAAGAATCTGTTTAGTCGTTTCTATTTCTCACTATTTGTCAACATTTGCCAACATTGAAAATCATTTTACGACTTTGAATAGTTTATCAAAATTTTGTTGAATAAAATGTGAGGTGTTCATCAACTTCATACAGCAAAACATTGTGACATTGTCCGGATAGTTTTTCAATAGAAAATGTTTTGTGCATAGCAGCATTATTCTATAGCAGTGTTATGCTCTCTGAGTTGAATAATTTAACCGTGACACTTTCATTTTCACATTCTAGACAACATTATCAGCTCAAAATTTTCGGCTTGTCTTCCTTGGAATCACTGTAGCCCAGAAATTTATAAAATCTCTTCACTCTTTGTTATATTGGACAAAAAATAAAGAAAACAAAGGAAAATATAATAATTATCAATGAAATAAACTGTATAAACCGTGAAAGACAATAAAGTGATTGCCCTCTTCATCTCCACCTACATGAACATCAACTGATAGTGAAGCTTCATGATATATTTTCGTTCATATCAATACTTATAGACAATCAAAGATACGAATTTCACTAGAAAAATGTAATAAACCAGGATAAAAAAAATACGTAGAATATCAGAGAATTTTTAGAAGCTTGTTTGTGATTAACAGACATATTGACATTTACCTAATCTACCAACCGATAAGAAATATTAAAAACAAAAAGGCGGTCGAAGTTCACAGGACAACCAATCGAAATACATATAGAGATAATTACAAGATTTTGATAGAAGCAACCAATCACACCCAAGGTCATCTGGTCAAAGTATTAGCCCATTTGTAGAGATAATTCCATAGCTAACTTGCTTTTAAAATTTGTACTGATGATGTTGTCTACAGTGATAATGAAAACTTTACCATTAAACCATCGTCAGACAACACAGATTACCATCAAAATCCTCCTCATGGGTTACAAATATCCTCCATCATTTGGATGCTAAGATTTCATTCACTTGTTTTAAATAATCAGTAAAAAACCATCCTTTTATAGTAAATAAATGATGTTATCCACTGTAACATTTGAATAAATGTTCCTTAGAAATACTCTAGATTCTATTTAGTAATACTATGCTCATATAGTGTCATCTTTCTTTTGAGTTTAAGAACTGATCCTTAACTTTGGACAAAAACATCAAATAAAGCGTTTGAAAACATGTTCTTCAACTAGGATAATTATTTAAAGCAATGTTATATGGTGCTTTCAATTTTCCACTGCTATGTAGGGTTGAATTATACCACAACTGTTTGCAGATGGGCTTCTATGCGGATATCTTGATGGATATTCATGATGTTGTATTTAACTTGATGACTAGCAGTGGAATTCAGGAGGCGATTGTTTTCTTATTTTGGGCTCATCAGCTGGATATACTTGCACACCAATGAGTTGTGTTGTTCCTACTAAGATGTGAACCCAGTTATCATCACTCCACTAAGTTAGTGGGTCACGATAGCCACCTCTTGTGCAACGAGTATCATTTATTGTTGTTTGACGCTTAAAGATATGGTTAGTAGATTTGTGTCTCAGTGGGAACAAGATCATTCGCTTAGATCCGGCTGATAAGTTGCGAATAGGACGAGACGTGTCTCCTGGACCCAACTACGAGCGAGTCATCTAAATGAATACATCATCTTTAACTATCATATGCAGATTTATCTAGGCAATTTATTTGTGGCACTGATTTATCCAAAGCCTGTGGAAATGAATGAAATAACGTTTTGTGATAGTGAGCTTTTAGAATGTTAAAGAATTGAGAACATTCATGTTATTTTTAAACCCTTAAGCAAAAGAATTACTTCTGATTATTCAACAAAGTATTCATGTAAAGTTCAATGTAATGAATTCTCGAAATAGTTTTCAAACTTAGTTTATCTCAAATATATAAGATTGATTTTACAAAAACCAACCGTATGAATAGCTAAGCATCAGGATGTTATAACTGACTGGTGTATACCATTCTCCTGTATACAAACCACTGTTTGGAAGCCTAATCTTTGGTGATATTAAAACCAAGGACATAAATTGTACAACTGAGTAATTTATTTAATAAGCATCTTTGTATAGAAGAATGCAAAGTTTGACTGATACTCTTGTTCTTAGCTATTTTATTACACATTAAAATGATTTGATTACATCATTTCTTCATAGACAATTACTTTCTTATGCATCTTTGTATATTTTGAGCAAAATTGGTCAGTGTTTTTATTTCCTCATAATTATACCACTTATATTTACCTTCATGCTTTTGAAGTGAAGACAGGAGTGAAACAAGGTTGCCTACTATCATTCATTATGTTCCTGATTGTGGTCGACTAGATCATGCAGCAAGCAGTAGGCAGCGAGAAGAGGGGGAT